GACACACGGTTCTTTGACCAAAACTTTCTTAGTTAACACAACCAACATATTTGATATATCATTATCTTCTTTTTGTGAGTCATAACTTTCTCTTTTATTTTCATTCAACTCCACATCACTATTCATGCTTTCAAGAAACTCTACAAATGATTGTTTGTACGGTTTTGTATATTTTCTATTTCTTGAATTCCAAAAATTCTTTAATTCGTTATCTGTTCTTTCAGAAGACTGTCACACAATCATTGTCAAATTTAATCTCGTATGAAAATATTAGTATAGTCTTAATATAAAATTGTGGAACCTAATATATATGTAAATATTACCATCAAAGATTTTAAAAAAAAAAGTGAAGCATGAATGAATTAACATACCTGGTGAACCATTTGAGACCACTTAGGTCCCATTATAGCATAGAGATTAAAAATTGTGTCTCCTTCTTCTTTACTAAATGGACGTTTCTTCAAGTTTGGATTCAAACAATTTAACCATCTAAAACAACAACTTTTTCTATCTCTAGCAAGTTTTGTTTTCTCTCGCACTTTATCCCACTTTTCAGCTCCGTATTTTGTAACATATTCTCTTAATAATGCATCTTCTTCTGGCAGCCACTTTCCTTTTTTTTCAACACAATATTTTTAGTATCATTGTCGTGATTTCCTTTTTCTTGTTGCAAAGATGATAAATCCATGATTAATATTAATTATAGATTTATTTAAGAGTGTGATAAACTTCAAAATTTTAATATTAATTAAAAAAGAATTTCAATGCACAAGAGAAGAGTAAATAATATTTGGAAAAACTTGAACTGATACACCACGAGAATGAAAATTTTAATTATATAATATCCTTGAACTTTGTTGATGGATCTTAAGGAAGAATGTTCTTTTTTTTTTTAAGTTTTGAAGTTTGCTATATGTAATTTTGGTTTCAAAGACGTTTTTTAGTCAAAATTGTCTTAGACTATATAATTTTAGTAAAATATAACCCTCTCATAATATAAAAAAGGATTATAGTAAATATAATTTTAATGAAACAAGGAACTATTTCTAAACAAACAAAAGATAAAGGATTCAAATTAAAATGTACTTTAGCTTCTCTATATTTTATTTTTTATTTTTTGGCAAAAAAATATTTTAGCTAATGGTTATTATGAATATTGAAGTTGGAGGAGTTATATTTCAAAATTTCAACTCAAAATTTAAATGCATATTTAAATATAGATTAATCTTAATATCAATAAAGCGTAATAATAGCAACCATAACTATTTTTCCGTATCATTATTTGACCTTTTTTTTCTTCAAAAACACATTACCTTAATTAGGGTATTAAATGTCACTTGATTTACATAATAGTCAGAAAAAAATATCATTGCAGAATGAAGCATTATAGCGTGCAAAAGAAAATTATTTTCACATGATGCTTTTAAATTTTAATCATTGAAATCAACATGGAAAATACAGACAACTTGCAATAGCATTGTCATGGAATCATATGTATTACTACTATTTATGAATTTGAATAAAACATAATAGCTATAACATTGGTTTCTTTTGTTTGGTGTGATCCGAATGGAACAATTTTAAAAATACCGATTCAAATTGTACCTTCAATTGCAGATTAATAATCACAATACACACTTTAAAAATTGGTCGTAATGAATAGATTTTAAAAATTTCATGTATATAATATATACAAGAAAGATATTCATAACCATTCTAAAACACATATTAACATATTTGAACATTAGACGTGTCACCAAGATAAATGAGAGACACCACATATTTATCTAAAATCTTACACTCAAATTTTTAAGGTGATAAGTGTATAGGTCCAACTCACACTTGTTTCTCAATAATCTCCCCCTCAAGATCTCCATGTAAGAAAGTTGTTTTGATGTCCATTTGTTCTAACTCAAGATTATAATGATTTACAATTTTCGTAAGTACCCATATAGAACAATATTTTACAAAAGTGACAAACTTTCATTTTAATCAATCCCTTTCACATGAGTAAAAACCTACGTCGCAAATCTTTACTTAAACTTTGGTTCTTTAATTCCTATAATAACTTCGTTCTTCTTGAAAATCCTCTTGCATCCAACCATAATTTGTTTATTAGGTAGTTTCACAATCTCCCAATTACGATTATTCATCGGTGAATTCATCTCATCATTCACTGCCATCAACCATATTTGACTATCTTTACTTTTGATTGTTTCTCTATAGGTCTTTGGTTATGAGGTTTTGCAAGCCTTCAGCTACATTCTGAACATAATAAATAAGATCAACATAACTGTACCTTTTAGGTGGTACAATCTCCCTCATACCTCAATCATGTGTCAATTGATAACTAGGAGACATTGTATGTTGCCATCATTAGTATTGGAAACAAGAGTCTCAACTACCTACTCATCTCTAGTGTCACGAGTAGGAACCTCCACCCCAAACTGAGTCCTTTCTACCATAACTTTAGATTCTTTAATCTCCAAGTATTTTCACTTCATCCCCATACGAGTCTCATCAAAGTAACATCCATGCTTTTGATAATTTTTGATCCTATAGGATCTATCCAGTCCAGGAAACTAAAATGGATGTTCCAGCTTCACGAAGGAACCATAAATGGATGAATAAATGTTGATATTGAATGGTGGATCCAATCTCCTTTACGGAAGCATGGGGTGGACCTGCATAGTTAACACCCAAACACCCAAGTCAGTCCAAGATTTAAGATGAGTATAGTAAAATTGAAGATTAGATATTGTGTATCTTCTCAAAATGTGTGAATTGTTTTATATTTTGGGTCAAGTAGAGTATGCTTGATATGGATTAAGCCTTGGACGATTCGGCCTTTGGCCGGTTAAGAACAATTTTCTCCAAGGCTTTACTGGACACTGAAGGAGCCAGTGGAAGCGTTAAATATTATTGATCGGCTTCCATGTCGTAGTTCGACGTGGAATAGAATTGAATCACTAATAATCAATTTTTTGAGAAATAATAAGGAACAACTGCATTTAATACGATTTCAACATTGAGACGTTTCTTCACTCATTCTAGACACATATGATGACGTGGCCAGCTAGGGTGTGGCACAATTCATAGAGTGTTTAACTGCATTTGACTTTTGCGTGTTTCCATGAGTGGAATTATAGTCGTTGTTCTTGTGATCGTATTTGCAATTGATCCTGATTTTTAAGTTGTCATTGTTTATAAGTAGAATAAGTTGAATATTTAGAAGTTTTCACAACTTTTTAGCTTTCAAGCACTTTTCAAAACACGTCTTCGTTCCTTTCTTCTTGAAGTAAATCACTAGAAGTGATTTTTATTTTTACTGAAATACTAACTTAAACATTGAAGTGTTAATCTTAGATGTTAACTTCATCTACTGCATTGGGGGCAGAACCAAACCCATCAAGCAAGCATAAGCCTAACTTGGGAAGACCTAACCTATCATGATTAAAGACATATAAATAACAATTGAGAATGGAATTAAACCAATTAAAGCCTGAAAGAGAAAGACCCAGATTCGCTAGCTTATCCGCCACAAAATTGCCTTCTCTAAGAGAATGAGAAATAGTTAAATTCATGTTTCTAATACACACCAAACACTTACTCCATCTATTTCTTAACATCCAAGGAACCTAAACCTTCTTTGTTGACTGCTTATTTTTTGTACCAGCTACCTCCTCTCTACATGGTGTTTTGGTGTTTCGAAGTGTGTTATCCTCCCTAATATATGGGAACTTTTTATAATTTGAATTGTTATGGCCAATGACTTTGCATTTATCACAAAATTCAGAAATGTTTTCATACTTCAAATCAACAAAAAAAACGCAAAGTCTTTTCTTTTCACTAAAACATTATATCTCAGTTCCTTTTGTAAGTTGATGTCCACAAGAACCCTAGAAAAATGACCAAAATTTCTATCAAAGATAAACTTGTTTGTGGTGGAATCAGTACAAATGGGAGTGTCAACACTACTTGCAATAGCAAACAAAATCTTAGGTCTTCAATATTCTTGAGTCAGACCAAAGATGTGAATCCAAACCTGAGACAAAGTTTGATGTTGAATGTGTGGATTAAAGTCACGAGACCACGCAAAAAGCTTGAGTTGGGCAGAGTTTAAATTCCAAGACCCAGAGGAGCGAACCTTTTGCAGATCTTCAAACGAAGAAAATGAAAACTCAAAAAATTCTTTCTCCAATGAAATGATACTCCATTTTTTGAGGTATTTCCATGAACTAAAAAGTTTGTTGCGCAAGATATCAATTTTGAGTGGAGGAGATCCTTTAGGCGAAATAATTCTACCATAAAAGTTATATTTATAAGAATTAATACCAACTTAATATTCATCTTCAGATACGATAATGAAGATACTTATTTTAATAATATCCAATATTGTTTTCTATAGTTATGTTTACCAAACAATTATTAAAATATAATTTCCTATCTCCGATCATGCTGCTACTAAAATTTTATTCTCATACCCAAATTAAAAAATTGTGATAACCTTATATTTCCACACTAGCCATTTCAATTTAGTAGTATCATTTAGCTCTTACATACAACCCATACAAAAATGACGTAGCGGTTATATTAAAACATAATTAATAAATAAACAAAAATATCAATAATATAAATATTCTACGTGACTTTATAAACACCATCACGTGCTATAAATTCTAAAAAGAGGAAAACAAAATTGACACAATAAATCCAAATTTTAAAATACAAGACCACATTGAGATAGCAACAAAGGTTCTCTCATATTGAGGCTCCTCAGATGATAGAATTGGATTTTGAAGATATTGATAATCCATCCCTAAATTGTATGGACAATATTGATCAAAAAACATATTACATGACGACAATGATGGAGCTGTAATTTCCATATCTTGAAAGAATGAACATTCCGGGAGTGTAGGAAACCTGTTATAATGTAAGTGATGAAATGTGTTAATATAATTATAAAGTTATTATGTAATTTGAATGAAATTATCTACTCATCTATCACCCAATGTAGCACTTTCCTCATTATTGTATAGCATATTTGAATCATCAACCAAAGTTGAAAGTTGTTTCAAGTTGTTGATATTTTTATCATCATTAACTTGATCAAGATATTTACCATGCATAATGTCTTGATGATTAAATTCCACTCTTGGAAGAGTCGGTTCTTCTTCTTGACAGACATTATTACTATGGTTAGTAGAACCCCTCATAATAATTTTCTCATTATTTTTCCCATCAGAACTTTGATCAACCAACATATTTGATATATCATTATCTTCTTTTTGTGAGTCATAACTTTCTCTTTTATTTTCATTCAACTCCACATCACTATTCATGCTTTCAAGAAACTCTACAAATGGTTGTTTGTACGATTTTTTATATTTTCTATTTCTTGAATTCCAAAAATTCTTTAACTCGTTATCTGTTCTTCCAGGAAACTGTCACACAATCATTGTAAAATTTAATCTCGCATCAAAATATTAGTATAGCCTTAATATAAAACTGTGGAACCTAATATATATGTAAATATTACCATCAAAGATTTATAAAAAAAAAAGTGAAGCATGAATGAATTAACATACCTGGTGAACCATTTGAGACCACTTAGGTCCCATTATAGCATAGAGATTAAAAATTGTGTCTCTTTCTTCTTTACTAAATGGACGTTTCTTCAAGCTTGGATTCAAACAATTTAACCATCTAAAACGACAACTTTTTCCATCTCTAGCCAGTTTTGTTTTCTCTCGCACTTTATCCCACTTTTCAGCTCCATATTTTGTAACATATTCTCTTAATAATGCATCTTCTTCTGGCAGCCATTTTCCTTTTTTCAACACAATACATTTAGTATCATTGCCATGATTTCCTTTTTCTTGTTGCAAAGATGATGAATCCATGATTAATATTAACTTTAATGAGTGGTTATGGCATTTTCGACTAGGTCATCTCAACTTTAATGACATTAGAGAACTGAAGAGAAGAAATATGGTTTCAGGATTACCAGAATCGACATTCCAAGTGAAGTATGTGAGGAGTGTGTTCAGTCGAAACAACACAAGAATAGCTTCAGCAAGGATGTAGGAAGGAAGTCGAAGGCAATACTTGAAGTCATATACTCTGATGTATGTGGTCCAATCCAGGTGGATTCGATTAGTGGCAATAGATACTTTGTCACGTTTATAGATGATTACAGTCGAAATTTGTGGACTTACCTCATCAAGAAGAAAAGTGATGTGATTGAGGTATTTTCCAGATTCAAGTCCATGATCGAAAGACAGAGTGGTCGAAAGCTGAAAACTCTGAGTACTGATGGTGGTGGAGAGTATGTGTCGAAAGAGTTCGATACACTATGTGTAAAAGAAGGGATTGTGCATGAGATGGTGCCACCCTACACTCCACAGCAAAATGGGATTGTAGAATGTAAGAATAGAACCATCATGAATATGGTGAGAAGTATGTTGAATAGAAAGCATATACCCAAAGAATTATGGGGAGAAGCAGTTTCGACAGCAACATATATATTGAACAGATGTCCAACGAAGAAGCTTGAAGGAATCACACTAGAAGAATGTTGATCTGGTATCAAGTCTAGTCTCAATCACTTAAAGGTGTTTAAATCTATAGCACATAGACATGTTTCAGATCAGTTGAGAAGGAAGCTTGATGATAAGTCGAATCAGATGATCTTGATAGGATATCATTCGACAGGAGGTTACAAGTTATTCGACCTAGTGAATAAACAGGTAGTGATCATCAGGGACGTGATCATAGATGAGCTTAAAGAATGAGATTGGACTGAGAATGCCAAGAAGGATTTAGTGAGGATCTCTTATGAAGAACCAGCCACTGAAGTCGAAATAGAAGTTTGACAGGAACCAGTTGCAGATAAAGAAGGTTCAAGCAGACCTCGACGAACAAGACACATGCCTGCAAGGTTGCAAGAATGTGTAATTACATCAGATGATGTAGTCGATGAAGAGGGTGTGCTGGTACATTATGCTTTCTACGCAGATGTCGAACCAGTCAATGCAGCTGAGGCATTGAAAGATTCAAAGTGGGTGAAAGCAATGACTGAAGAGTTAGAGTTTATCGAAGTCAATGATACTTGGTCACTTGTCGAATTTCCGTAAGGCAAGAAGTCAATTTATGTGAAGTGGGTTTACAAGGTGAAGGTAAATCCTAAAGGAGAAGTAACTAGACACAACGCAAGACTTATGGCGAAAGGATTTCTTCAAAAAGAAGGAATCAACTTCGATGAAGTATTCACACCTGTTGCTACAATCGAAACAATCAGGTTGGTTGTTGGTCTAGCAAATATGAACAACTGGCACACATGTCAGATGGACATGAAGTATGCATTCCTTAATGGCCCCTTAGACAAAGAAGTTTATGTTGCACAACCAGCTGGGTTTGTGAAACAAGGCGAAGAAAGAAAGGTGTACAGGCTTCATAAAGCCCTTTATGGACTTAAGCTTGGGGTCAAGATGAGATGAAACTTGTATCTTAAGATAGGTGGTCTTGAAGTTGGGCACTAAACAGGGGATTTTACACTGAGAACCCTAATTTAGTAACTTCTCACACTCTTGACCCTTCTTGATTTGATCTTGAAATGATATATTAGATATCTCAACATAATATTCCATGACCATAAAGACTTGGAATTGAGTCTTAATCTCCTTCAATTTCACAATTGACTGAGGTTTGACCAGATGAAAACCCTAGATGCACCACTCTTGATTGTGGCTTCTTACACATGACATAACAACTTGGATAAACTCCAATATGGCTCTCAAAGCCTTCAATGAGCTTTCTCAACATCCCATATCCATAATCATGAATTCACAATCCTCTGATGATCTTCAACTGACCTCCAAGTTAGGAGCTGATCCTCATACACCCATCAACTCTTTCAAAGAGCATTGACCACTTCTTGATGACTTGATGACCATTCATGCTTGAGTAAAACCCCTTGCTTAGGCTCAACACTCTTGGTGACCTTCTCTTGCTATGCACAACCTCTTGATACCCTGCTCAATGAACAATGCTATGCAATGCAAATGTTAGAAGAAAATGAAATGAAACATAAACCAGGTTAAGAAAAGGTTAGAAAAATTTTGGGGTGCAACAGCTGCCCCTATTCAAGCGACTTGGACCTGAAGGGATGAAAAGCGAACGAATTTTAGAAAATCAAGGTACAGACATCGTCAATCCTCTACCTTATGTTGGTAAAATAGCTAACATCGTCGTTAGTCCTCTGTTAAATAAAGACAGACATCGAATCCAATGATACGATCCTTTGACATCGCCATCAGGTCATCGCTAAATAAAAGCGAGTGACAAATCTGAAGATCAAATCCACACAAAATATCCGACATCAGGCCTCCATTGAACCGATGCACCTCTGACATTGCCACCAGAACTCCATGAAATTAAGAAACACCTGACATCACCGTCAGTAACCTGCAGGGGATAAAACAAAATGACCTCGCCGTCAAGTCTCCACGTAGTTAAGAAATCTCTAACATCGCCATCAGTAACTTGCTAAATAAAAGCAAACTTTGAACCCAAAAGGTAAAGACATCTGACATCGCCGCCAGACAAACATAAATCTGATGAAACACTTGACATCGCCGCCAGACAACTTCAAAGTTGATAAATATCTGACATCATCGCCAGAAAACCACAAAGTAGACAAAGATCTGATATCACCGCCAGAAGATCAAAACATCTGACATCGCTGCCGGAAAACCAAATCATCTGACATCGTCGTTAGAACCGAATCATCTGACATCATCGCCAGACCAACATAAATCTGGTAATAGATCCCGACATCACCGCCAATAACCAAAAATATGAGAAACCTCTGACCTCGCCGTCAGTACAAACAGAAACATCTGACATCGTCGTCAAATAACCACACTTTCGCTAAACATCTGACATCACCGTCAAATAATCACCATGCTGATAAAACATCTGACATCATCATCAGAAAAACGTTTGATATTGCCGTCAAATAAAACCCAATATTGAGAAAATACCTGGCATCGCCGCCAGAATACCACAAAGTAAACAAAGATCTGACATCGCCGTCAGTAAACCACAAAGTCTGAGAAACATCTGACATTGCCGTCAGGCATCTGTAAACTTGAGAAACATCTGACATTGCCGTCAGGCATCTGTAAACTTGAGAAACATCTGACATCACCGTCAGACATCTGTAGGGGATAAAACTTCTGCACCGGACCCGAAGATAAGGGCATCTGACATTGCCTCCAGGCCTTCGCTAAATAAAAGTGAACATCAAGAGTCATACGAAGTTATAATCATCCGATGATAATGATCACAAGGAAACTCCGCTGGGGAAATAGCATAAGCCGGGGTTTAGATACCACCCGGGCAAAGATATCAACCAATTGCGTGATACACCTGAAACAGAGATATAACAACCTGGTTTATGTTTCACATGCATATATTTGAAAATGGTGTAATGCTCCATACACAATGGAAATGCTACGTGTTTGGGTAGATGTTATGCACGCATGCAAATGCAACGGAACTGAATCAGCAAAATAAATGCTAGAGATACGGAAACCACCTTGCCGGGGGAACAACCTACTCCTGCCAATCACAATTGGACTTATGCCGAGGAAACGGGCCCCTTGCTAGCCTCCTGCCAAGAAAATACTGAGGTAACAACATCCATCTGTCCTACTAGGGAAAAGAGAACCAATCTGTTGAGGAAATCACCCTCTTCCATCTTTGTATGTAGGTGAACTGCTTGATAAATTTGAAATGAATAGCTGCAATTCAATTTCAAATCCATCAGAGATAAACTAAAAAGTGGATGAGTGTAGTGAGGAAGAAAGAGTTGATCCAACATTGTTCAGACAAATGGTTGGTTCATTGAGATACTTGTGCAACAGCAGGCCTGGCATTTGCTACTCAATCAGTGTGATTAGCAAATTCATGCATGATCCAAGGAAGACTCGCTTGATAGCTGCTAAAAGGATACATAGGTATATAAAAGGCATTAAGGAGTTTGGTCTGCTATTCCTAAAATGGGAGCAAAGGTAAAAGAAGTGAACTCATTGGATACTTAGATAGTGATTGGTGTGGAGACAACACAGATAGAAGAAGTATCTCTTGCTATGTTTTCAAGTTCAATAAAACAGTTATATCATGGTGTACAAAGAAGCAACCAGTGATTGCACTTTCATCTTGTGAGGTAGAGTATATTGCAAGAACATTTGTAACTAGTCAAGCAATATGGTTGGATTCAGTGATGAAGGAACTGAGGTGTGAAGTGATAAAGCCTTTGGTACTCAGAATTGATAACAAGTTAGCTATTAGCCTTGCTAAAAATCCAATTTCACATGGTAGAAGTAAACACATCGATACAAGGTTTCATTTCATTAGAGAACAAATGAACAATGGAATGATTGAAGTGTAATATTGTCCAACTGAAATGTATATGACATATGGTTTTACAAAGGCTCTAAAGCTTAACAGATTTGAGTTTTTGAGAAAGAAACTTGGTGTTAAGAGTGTTCAACAGTTATGAATTAAGGGGCAGTGTTGAGTTTTAATCCATAACTATCTTGTGTACAAGTTAATTAGTAGTTTGTTACAAATTGATTGTTAGTTAGTTAGTTACCTTGTGTATAGATGACTTGCTTAGCAAGCTATTGTGTAACACATATAAATAACACTTTGTAATGTGAAATAATATCAATGAGAATCATCTCTATTTTGTCTCTCCTCATCCTCCAAGATGTCAAAACATTAGAGTGTGCGTGTGTTATTTCTTTCATCTTGCAACAATCTTGTTGCGCATTAACTGTGAGTTCTAACAATTGGCATCTAGAGTCTGGTTCAATCAAAGGGAAACACGAGTGAA